ATAATTCATTCTAGTTTGTTGCACGTGGACTTGGTAGAATGAGTATCTTGTAGGTATATGATAGGAACTGTTTGGGGATTTAGTTAATTGTCTGAATGTAGATAACTAACTAATTTGGATTTTCTCTGGGCAGCTCATGTTGAAGATTGTAAAGCTAATAAATTAAGTTTTAGTTGAAGTGTTCAAATCGCGGCCTACATGGGTGTTATTGAAGTTGAGCAACATGACTCTAAAATTGTTCAAACCGATGCAACCTTTGTGCTTGAAGTGTCTCTTATAGTAATTCTTATAAAAGTGATTGTAATCCGAAATTCTTATCTGCTTTGATAACCATTTCAGCAAGAGTTGAGAAATGCTGTGTCATTCAATGGAGGGCAATTTCCTTTGCCACTTTGGCTTAGGGTTGAAGTTTGCCTTATCCTCCATAAGACATTTAAAACAGCTTCAGTGCGAGTTATCCATCAAATGTTGCGCTATTAGTAGTATGGTAGGCATTGGTTGAGTTCTGAAATATTAGGCCTAGGATAATGAGAGCCTTTTTCAGTTGTCTGTAAATTAAGTCATCCTGGTTAAACAGCGCGTGGATCTTACTTGGTATAAGAGTGGCTTACAACTATGCGTTATGATCGCCTTTTTGTTTCAACGCAGGGAGTGGTATTTATTGTACATTTTGTGACACCATCTTATAAGCAAATAATTTGTATGCAGACAGTAAAGCTCGTGCGCACTCATTGCACTTCAAGATGGCGCTCCAACACTTGGGAAGGACCAAAATGCGGCTACTCGGAGAGAAAACATGTGTGTTGAGCGTTCCGCCTACGTTTGGCATCTGATAGATACGCGTGACCGGACTCGCTAACCAATGGCGTGCTTTCTGTTTACTCTGGAAGTTCGCGCTAGAGTTTCAGCGACCAATCATTATCGTTGCTGTGCCCACGTTGACGTAATGTAATTTGATGAGTGAAAGGGCGGGTTTTGGTATGTCGCATTTCGTAAAAGCGTAGCTACGTTAAACAATCTGTAAAAAATATATACTTTTTGAGTGATGGGAGGGGTAGCCAGTAATAACGAGAATTTTGTTTGATTGACAATAACAATTTGCGAATAGGCTGGATGAGAAGGTTAATATAAAAACGTATTTGGGGGGGGGTGCTTACTCTGGCGGACATGTTCAACTGCGAATAGAAAATACGGGGCGTGGTCTTCTTAAATTACCGTATCCAATAGAATGAATGGTTGGTCTATAAAGTATCGGGCGTAGACGTGAGTTGCCATTTCGCTGAAGCAGTGATCAGTCTAATGCTTTGGGGGCTGGTGGAAAGGACGGGCAAAGCAGGAACTTGAATATTGGTATTTAAACAGAATCCGGATCCATCCTGATGGAGACGGCCATAAACCCGCCCCATGACAGGTACCGATCGGAACAATTGACTTTAAGTTTGCGATCTGAGAGGATATTGTTGCATTAAGATTAGGATTAACTCATAAACTGATGTTTTCTGATTACCGACATGTACACTGGGTGTACATCCATGACTGCTCAGCCGGCATAGAGCGTTTATATTGATTTTTGCAATGAAAAATAATATACTGGACATTTGTCAGGATATGACCACTCTTCGTCAAACTGCGAAATAAGACAATTATTTGGGACGACTGTCGTTTAAATTTTACTGCACCGACGCCATCTTCCCAGCGTCTCCGCTAGCTAGTCCTTGCTGTAGTATTGCATAGCCCAGACTGGCTTGGTAAGAAACGAACTAGTTGTTGATATCGCTCAACTAGATTTACACTAGCATAACTATCAGCCGTTCTGTTTATTTGTATCTTCCTGTTGGTTAACTAACTGTTAGTGGCTGGGTGAATGTTGGTTAGCTAAATTCTTTAACATTGTGACTGTATATTATTGCTGGCTACCATGGGGATACGCTTGCAGTGTCAGCTAGATACGGCTACTAGCTACGCTAGTAGCAGACGGCCATTGCTTGCCAGGGAGTCTGCTTTAGGTACCTAGCTCGTTAGGGAGTCTGCTTTAGGTACCTAGCTCGCTAGCTACCATGGGGATAGGCTTGCTGTGTCAGTTAGCTGGGTACGGCTACTAGCTAGCAGACGGCCATTAATTGCGAGGAAGTATGCTTTAGGTAGCTAGCTAACAAGTAACTAGTTTCCGCTAATTCAAGGTGACAAATTCGTATGAGTAAAAGCTAACTAGCTGCAGCGTTTTGCGAATCACATAACATAGTACTGGCCAACGTTAGCAAGCTAATGTAGCTAGCTACTGACTCATCAATGTGTTTGAGTAGATCTAGCTAGTGGTGATTGTGGTGGCTTGGTAGACAAGGTAAGCTGGTTAGCTAGCTAACGTTACCGGTTGGAACTATTTGGAGAGCTCTCTTATATTTGGATGGGGAGGGATAGCTAGTTAAGTTAGCAAGCTGGCTAGTCCATTTGTTTTGTGGAAATGTTTGGTAAACGTTACATTTCATGTCTGCATGTCGGTTACGTATAGTGCTGATAATTTAGTCATCCTATAATTTCAGTTTAACGCCAGGTCCATGCAATGGTATTTTTAACAGCGTGTGCAAGTCACGTGTCTAATTGGACGGAAATAGTTTCCCATCAGTTGCTTGCAATGGCCTCACAGTCCACTTACCTTTCCACTCACCAAACCTGCAATTTATATGTATTTTGTGTACTTTTTTGTGACCATTCAAATAAAATGTGAGTTGGATGTTGACTAACATGTTACAACAGTACTGGACATCGTTTGTAATCTGACAGTGATATATAACTGCTCACGTAATAGTAAACTAGTCCAGTGCAAAGTTCTCAATAGTAGTAAAGTCTTCCCTTTCACCACGTTTTATTTTTAAAGGAAATGTAGCACATGTACAATTTAACTTATATTGATAAGGTTTTTGTTGCTGACAAGTGTCAGTGACGTAAGTGTTTTGAAACTTTTTCAACTTTTATAATAAAGTACATCAAATGTCAAATGTGTTTTCCAACTTGTATCATTGAATAACAGCTGATATTAAACTGTATAAGGGAGAGGTTATCTGTGACTTGGATTGTCCTCTTGGTCAGTATAGGCTACACCAAGTTTTCCTGTCATCAAGAAACGGTCTTCATTTTGTAGAATTGGTAAAGGAAACAATCACGACAGATTGACTTCCACATTGGTTAAGTAATAGGCTCTGTGTGCAGCAGTAGTGTTGTTCATTTGTTTGGGTTCCTGTCGAGGTAAGCTACAGGTGAAAATTAAATTCTGCTCAAGTAGTTTCCTCCGGTGTTCACTTATGAGGAAGATGCAGCCCAACTGATCTAGTCCCAAATGAAGGGACATAGCGAGACCTTACACTATGGAATGGTTGGCTATCTTGATATTCAGTTGAGCATAAAATGGATTCAGCACAATCAAATTTGATTTATCATATGCGCCGAATGCTACTGGTGTACACTTTACAGTGAAATGCTTGCTTGCAAACCTTTCCAAACGATGCAGAGTTTGTGTATAAAATAACTAACACAGTATTAATTAAACTACACAAGAATGGCTCTATATACAGGGAGTACCATTACCAGATCAATGTGCAGAGGTACTTGAGGTAGCTATGTAAATGAAAGCAGTGTAAAGTGACTGCATTTCTGGATAGAGATTAGAGAATCGGTTCAGCCAAACCCAAATTGATTGGTTATTCTGTATAATTGGAGTAGTGGGGATTGACAGAACTTTTCCATGTTTCTTAGCTTGTCCCTATAGAGAAAGTAGTTTATTCTAGGTAACATTAATATGAAGAACGCACCAAGAGTCTGTAAGTGGCTTCTAATTGCCAACAAATACTTGGTCAACTATGTACACATAGTTAATGCTGATAACACAAGGCATTGATACAAATCAAAACATTTTGGCACTGTTTTACTAGTGTATATAAACTTTTCCCTTAATTCAGAGGTATGGTGTATGTAAATAATTCTACTAATTTGTCAATAGGGCACTTGAACAGGGTTAAGGTCACTTGTGAGCAGAGTGTAGATATCACTGCACTCTTGAACCCTTCAATTTAAGATTTATTTTAACACATGCACACATTGTATATTAATCATAATGCTAAATGCACAAACCACAAGTGACTTGGACTTCTACGTTGTCTCTATTGTAGGTAGTGTTGGTGGGGGGGTAGGGCCTAGTTACCATGGTTATACCAGCCTACCATCCAATGGAACAGACTTGTTAGCTTCGTTGCCAGGGAGACAGGAGAAATGGGCCGTTAAATGCATGCAAATGTTGTCTTTCCCATTTTTCTATAGTATTGCTCCCCTCGAAGCCTCTGGATGTATAATGGCAGGACTATGGGATCATATCACCAGTACAATGGTCAACGCATTCATTTGAATTCACTGTTTCAATTTACAGGCTGCTTGTATGTTACTTTATGTTTGGTATGAGTATCACTGTTACTGTGCATGTCCAGCCAGGCTCTTATCACAGTTTCAACAGACAACACTGTTTCTGTTGAGACTACTTCAGCCCACAGATATGATCAGCCAGGGGCACTAAACCACTGCCAGCACAAAGGATTCATCAGTCATTGGGTTTTATGGTGGAACAATGCAAAACTAAATCTGCCTCGACATCCTTGTCATGGTGTATTGAGTAAGCTTTTAGGCAACTCGTAAAGTGAACCTCACAAATGCCTGCCAGAGGCCAGCTGTCCAAGAACTCCCGAAACCACACCCAGATTCCAGTGTAAGTTTGCTGTATGTATCATATTTTCTACAGCCTCTGATGGCTAATCCTGTAGTTTCTGGCAATGCTGATGAGGCAGTTGTGACTCGTAGCTCAATTGAAACCCAATCATGGTGAGAGGGCGCATGACTCACTTTTGCTAACCTGTCCTCATGTAAGACGTTTAGAGTGGGCTAGCTAAGTAGAAGGCTTGTTCTACAAAGACTGCTGTGTCACATCCAATACTTTCTCCACCTCCCCATTCTTCTCTATGCCCCACTGCTCTATGCTTATTCCCTCCTCCCTTTCCGTCAACAGCTCCCTGGGCGGGGTCGACGTAGGCCTGCAGGGTGTCATGGCGATGGAGCAGGGCCCCCCGGGCCCCGGCAAGCGCATCCGGAAACCGTCACTGCTGTTTGAGGGATTCGAGGGCCCGCCGTTGCTCCCCCACGGGCAAGCTCCCCCCTCTGGGTCGCCACGGCCCCTAGTGCCCGACACGAACCGGCAGGGACGTGCCACCAACCAGCTGCAGTTCCTCCAGAAAGCCATGATTAAGTCCCTGTGGAGGCACCACTTCGCATGGCCTTTCCATGAGCCTGTGGACGCCTCCAAGCTCAGCCTGCCTGTGAGTGTCTCTGCAAGCCACTGTTCCAGAGAGCCCAGTCACATTGTACTTTAGCCAAAAAAAGACAGACAACTGTGAATATTTATAGATATTCAAATAGTGTTATCATCCTGTTTGCATATTAGGATGTCACCGTTTTCTTAACTAACTGTAGAACTAAGGTTTTTAGAATATTCTTATTTTAGGTTGGGAAGTTTTATAAAAGCTTTTCTCAAGCTTGCAGACAATACAGTGCTGAATAGGTCTGTAGAGCGCAGTGTATTTATTATTAGTACAGCAGCATTAAGTAAACTGGCTCCTCTCTGCCTCAGGACTATCACAAGATCATCAAACAGCCCATGGACATGGGGACCATCAAGCGGCGCCTGGAGAACAACTACTACCGCAGCGCCAGCGAGTGCATGCAGGATTTCAACACCATGTTCACCAACTGCTACATCTATAATAAGGTGTGTGTGAGAGAGACATGCTGTAACCACAACATTTTCACAGTCATAAATGAGCCTTTGACCAACTATGGTTATTGGCAGGACACTAGAGGGAGTCAACTCCATTTGAGTTCAAAAGCTCTACATCATATTATCTATTTATATTTTACATCCCTGGAAGCTGTCAGAGATATGTCACTAATAAACATTCTTATAAACAGTCTAAAATGTCTGTAGATATAATCTATCTGATAGAAATGAGGCAGATCTCACATCCTATTTTGAGAAGTTCTATGCCCTACATGTATTCTCCAGCCGAGTAAAACTTTTCCATTGTGATTGTCTCCCAGCCAACAGATGATATTGTTCTGATGGCCCAGTCCCTGGAGAAGGCTTTCCTTCAGAAGGTTGCCCAGATGCCCCAGGAGGAAATAGAACTTCCCCCTCCTCCCCCGCGGGGCAAACCGGGCAAGCCAGGCAAAGGACGCAGGGCCACAGGTGAGCATGAGTTTTTTTTGTGTGATTCTGTTTGTGTAAGGTTAATGGATGTTTTTGAGTGTGATTATTTGCCGGGGGGGGGTAATTTTTGTGTGATTATTTTGGGGAAATGTGTTCTGTTTGATATTGACTCTTTCTGTCAGATAATGTGAATATGAATAATATATACGTATATATAATATGCCATTTAGCAGAGGGTTTTATCCAAAGTGACTTAGTGATGCATACATTTTTCTTATGGGTGGCCCCAGTGGGAATCGAACCCACAATCCTTGGCGTTGCAAACGCCATGCTCTACCAACTGAGCCACACAGGACCACATGAATACATGTCATCTCCCACGCGTAACACTTTTTTTTCTCCATTTGCCTCAGTACCAGGAGGAGTGACGACTGCTCACCAGGTCCCGGCAGTGTCCCAGTCCGCCTACTCTCCCCCCACGCCGGACACCCCGGAGTCGCTGCTCTCCACCCCCCCACAGACGCTCCAGGCCAAGAGCCTACCTCCCACCCTCCACAGTAATCCTGCTATGCTAGGCTTACCCCCAACACAGCCCACAGCCAAGGTAATGGCAGCAGGCGAGACACAAATACTGTCAACTACTGCCTGTGCAGTGTTCACCTACCCCTAAACTACGCTATTGTTATACAACTTACTCTACCTTATGGCCTTGCAGCTGATAAGTTAAAGAACCTACTGATCAAAGTGTAGGCAGCAGTTGGTGACATCATCTGACAGCGTCGTTTACTATTTTATTTATTGGCCCATTATCTGAAATGGCAGGTGTTCAGCCAATGACAAGTACCTGTCTCTGTCTCCAACAGAAAAAGGGAGTGAAGCGGAAAGCGGACACCACCACCCCCACCACCATGGCCATGCCCATCACCATGGGCGTTGGCGGGATTGGCATGGGCATGGTCGGCGGACCCGACTCCCCGTTGACACTCACCTCGCTGGGGGTAGGCCAAGGCCTGGGGCTCGGCATGGGGATAGGTATGGGTATTGGTATGGGCCGTGGCAGAGGCATGGTGGGCGCCAAAGCAGCTGCAGGGAGGCGGGGAGTCAGCGGGCGCCCTATCAAGCCCCCGAAGAAGGACCTGCCGGACTCTGTGCAGCTCCAGCCGGTGCGACGCGGCAAACTGGGCCAGCAGCTCCGGTACTGCAATGGGATTCTCAAAGAGCTGCTGTCCAAGAAACACGCGGCTTACGCCTGGCCCTTTTACAAACCAGTGGACGCCTCCATGCTTGGCCTACACGACTACCACGACATCATCAAGCAGCCCATGGACCTCAGCACCATCAAGGTACATGCCGCACCACACAGCCTGTTTGTAATCCTTGAGACAATGGACCCTAGGTAGAGCTGTAGATCACAGCGACATCAAGCACCATAAAGGTAGACTGTCAATAATTATGTGACGTTAACTTCCTCCACTCTTCCTCTGCAGAGGAAAATGGACAGTCGAGAGTACAGGGACGCCCAGCAGTTTGCCGGTGACGTGAGGATAATGTACTCTAACTGCTACAAGTACAACCCCCCAGACCATGACGTGGTAGCCATGGCACGCAAACTACAGGTACGAGTCGACACATTTTACACATCGAGATATGTCGTTTCCTGGTTGAGTTTTTATGCCTTTGAACAGTAGTATCATACAGCTGAATGGACATGAGTGCACTGGTCTGATATCGTCCTCTCTCTCCAGGACGTCTTTGAGTTCTGTTTTGCCAAGATGCCTGACGAGCCTGCGGCCCCTCCTGCTTCCATGGGTGGACACTCCTCATCTTCTTCATCTTCCTCCTCATCCTCGTCGGAGAGCGACCCCAGCAGCGAGAGTGAGAGCGATAGCAGCCCCAGCTCGGACAGTGAGGAGGAGCGAGCACACCGCCTGGCCGAGCTGCAGGAACAGGTGTGTACACAGGTAGACTGACCCAACCCTGCGTCCACCGCAACACGACACACACTTAGCACCAGACACTCACACACACACACATCAACATTCACACTGCATCCTCACCACAATACATTACATTTTAGTCATTTAGCAGACACTCTTATCCAGAGCGACTTACAGTTCATTCATCTTAAGCTAGCTAGGTGAGACAAAAGTATTTCTGTATGCCTGAGCTTGAAGTGGTTGCCACAACAGTAACTGACCATGTCCTCTCCACGGTCCCGTCAGCTGAAAGCAGTTCATGAGCAGCTGGCAGCACTCTCCCAGGGCCCCATCGTCAAGCCTAAGAGGAAGAAAGATAAGAAGGACAAGAAGAAGAAGAAGAAGCCAGAGAAGCATCGGGGAAGCCGGGTGCCAGTCGAAGAGGATATACCCATCCGGCCGCCCAAAATGCCCAAGGTCACCAAGACGTCAAAGACGCCGAAGACACCCAAGACCAAGAGCAGCAAAGGGGGCTCCACACAGGGCAAGAGGGGTACTGGCAAGAAGAGCAACAAGAGCAAGTGAGTGCTCTCTACTGACAATCGATTTCAACATCTCTCTGCCATGATATGATTTATTGTCTCCATGCTATCAAAATTCCCCAAAAGTATTCCTGACAAAAACAAAATGTGCACCATCATGATTTAATCATTAAATCACACTTTCACCCTCAGGTCCTCCAAGAAGTCGCAGGCAGTGATGCTCAACATGCACCAGATGAGCGCTGCCGCCATGCTCCCCCACTACGACTCCGAGGAGGAGGACGAGGTGTCGCCCATGAGCTACGACGAGAAGCGCCAGCTCAGCCTGGACATCAACAAGCTGCCCGGGGAGAAGCTGGGTCGTGTGGTTCACATCATCCAGGCGCGCGAGCCATCGCTGCGTGACACCGACCCAGAGGAGATCGAGATAGACTTTGAGACACTCAAGCCGTCCACGCTGCGCGAGCTGGAACGATACGTCATGACCTGCCTCCGCAAGAAGCCTCGCAAACCCTATGGTTAGAGAGCTTTCCTGTGTAGCGCCAGATCTTCTTTCAGATATTCTCCCTGTTAAGTGTCCTGGATGGGCGCAACCATAGGGCTTTTTCTGTCACCATTTCGGTCAAATGTCATACAAATTTCCCCTGTTCCCAATGATTTCACTGGGTAGCATTATAGTGACTTAGTCTCGGTTTATTTGGATCAGTCGGTGAATGCAGACATTGAATCATCTAACCCCCTGGTCTCCTCTCTGTTAGTAGGGAAGAAAGGTGGAGCAGGAAAGTCCCGGGAGGAGCTGGCCCTGGAGAAGCAGTTGGAGTTGGAGCAGAGGTTGCTGGATGTCAGCGGGCAGCTCAACTCTGGCAAGAAGCCTCAGAAAACCAAAGGTGAGTCAGAATACATCTGGATCACTGCCCACAGAGTAGACACGGCAGATATGACAACTCATTTCAGAGCATGCACAGAGATGTGGAACTACAAGCCAAAATGTGTTTAAAGATTACTGGCTCAATTCCTTTTCTCTAACAAATGGCATTGTCCACCTACATAGCACGTCATAAAAAAAGTTATGAACGAGATCAGCTCAGGTCTTTGGAAAATGTGTGGGTTGACTTCTCAACCTTATATTCCAAGTATTTGACCTTCTGTGTATCTCTCAGCAGAGAAGCCCAGTGCAGTGGAGCCCCATGCCGTAGCGTCTCGCCTCAGCGCCAGCAGCTCCAGCTCAGACTCTTCCTCCTCGTCCTCCTCGTCCTCCTCTGACACCAGTGACTCGGACTGAAGGCTCCGGAGGGACGGGCCTGGGCCCGCGAACCCCAGATAGGACAGTGCAGAAATGCCAACAGAGCCGCAGGCGGATCAGACTATAGTCAGAACTGACCCGGAATTAAGAGAAAGCTAAAGCTTTTCCCCTATGTTCTGAGAAGCCAGACCCAACAGAAAGAGTGGATGGAGAAAGACTGACTTGTTTCATTGCTCTAGAAACCTAGAGGGTTGACAGAGAGATTATGCATCGTCTCATAGAAAAAAGAGCTGATCGCAAGATCTCTACAGGCTCTAGAAAGATGGCAGGATCTCTACAGGCTCTAGAAAGATGGCAGGATCTCTACAGGCTCTAGAAAGATGGCAGGATCTCTACAGGCTCTAGAAAGCAAGAAGGGTGGATGGGTCCAGAACTCTGGGATCATCTTGTACTATGTCTTTCTCTCCACACTGTATATAATATGTACAAATATATAAATATCTATTTTTCTTTTATAAAGAAGAATTTTAAGGAATCCCCAAATGTGGGGAGAAAGTAAAGATGTGGACAGGCTGGCTTTAGTTTTTCTGTATACAGGGCAACGTGTGTGTGTGTGTGTTGGTGGTGTGTGACTGAGTGAATGTGTGGGGCACGGCCTCGTACAGTAAACACAGCCCTGCTTAGTTTCTCATCTTGTGGATGCCGGCGTTTTAAATCATTCTGCATCGTAAAGCACCTTGGCTCAGTATAAATGTAGAAAATGCACACATGAAGAAACTGAGGCGCATCAAGACTGCAACATACGCATGTACTTTACATCTTGAGAGGGTTGTCCGTGGTTACACATTTAATGAGCCGTTAAGGTTTAAGCGAACTCACTTTTTCCTATGTTTCACTCTGTAAATGACGTATTTCGATCTTCTTGTGACCAATCTGCAAATAAATTGTGAGGACATGTCTCCACTCACCATTACCCACACGCAAACAGATTCTTCCCTTGTTTTGTTCAGTCAATTAGATATGTCTAGTGACGTCTACAGACTACTGAAATGGTCACATCTCTCTTGCAAGACATTTTAACTTGCAAGGGTAGTGCACAATAGAACTAGATTATGAGACTTCACCTTTTAATTTCACTTTGTCTGGGGGAAAAATACTTTTTATAGGTCGTATCTTAGTAAGGTTCAGTGGGGCGCTTACATGCCTTCCTTGTCCCCCGGATGTGATTCCCATACCGTTGCCATACCAATGCTTTACGGCACAGAACCACACTATTTATTTTAACAAATTGGCCTTTTAACTTTTTGGCAGCTGAATGTTTTATTCAACTGAGCTAAATCTGGTTTCGGAAGATGATTGTAGTGACCATTTCCTTGCTCATGGTGCGTTTGGCAGAAGTGGTATATGTACTTCATGAGATTCGGAGGTAATAAACAGATTTTTGTCATTTAGTTAATAAGAATCAAGCTTTTTTATAATAGTTTGAGAATTTAGATTTTGTACATGTGTGATCAGTTATTTATTTCCTGGGGATTTGAGTGGACACATTCCAAATCTTTATTGCATTTACTTGAAGGCAATGGAGAAAGTTGGATATTGGTAATAATGGCAAAGAAAAACTACTCAAGCAAAAATGTGTACAGCTCTGAGGAAAAAAGGCAAGACTGAAAAAAAAAAGTGTGGAGTGTTCTAGCCACTATGTTTCTACCACTGAGGTTTCCTCTTTTGCGTTTCTTCTCTTATGTTCTTTTCCCCCGACAATTGAGTGGTTGTTTCTTGTGTTCTGTTTCTTTTCTAAGAAAAAATACTTTGAACTGTCCAACTACAAATAAAGAGAGAAAGAGCTCTTTTACACTGACTTTGTGTCTGTTTTGATGAAGAAAGTGGGTCCGTGGAATGATACAATAGGGGGGGGATGATGAGCTTTCACTCCTATCAGTGACAATTGTTTTCAACAGTGAAGTTCTTGCCATGAGGACATGGATCACTAGATGGCAGCAGTCAGTGCAAAAACAAATGTGTGCCAGCCTATTCTCATATCTGTCTGAGAGCAACAGACACACATCAACTACATGACCAAGAGTATGTGGACACTTTCTTGTCAAACGTCTCATTCCAAAATGATGGGCATTAATATGGAGTTGGTCTCCCCTTTGCTGCTATAACAGCCTCCACTTTTCTGGGAAGAGTTTAAACCACTCCAGCCACTTGGCATTGCGAATGGTGATCTTAGGCTTGTGTGCGGCAGTGGCGAGGAGCTATAGGAGGATGGGCTCATTGTAATGGCTGGAATGGAATAGCTCCTCCCACCAGAAATTTGACAAACTGACTTGTTGGAAAGGTGGCATCCTATGACGGTGCCACGTTGAAAGTCACAGCTCTCCAGTAAGGCCATTCTACTACCAATGTTTGTCTGTGGAGATTGCATGGCTGTCTGCTTGATTTTATACACCTGTCAGCAATGGGTATGGCTGAAATAGCCAAATCCACTAATTTGAAGGGGTGTCCACATACTTTTGTGTATATATTGTGTATTTGCCAAGGTTGAACAGTTCACACAGAGAGGTCCTCAATGTATTCACAATCCTCCAGCTCCTGTACTATGATGTATCCATCCAAAAGACAGAGCAAACAACACCTCAGCAGAACGCTCTAATGTCATGCACACTTAGGCATGACATTAGAGCGTGTAGGTGGGCATGCTTGCGTCCGTAATGGGTCCGCGGTCAAACGACCACCCCTCATCACTGTCAAACGCTCCCTAAAACACTTTAGCGAGCAGGCCTTTCTAATTGACCTGGCCCGGGTATCCTGGATGGATATTGACCTCATTCCGTCAGTAGAGGATGCCTGGTTGTTCTTTAAAAGTGCTTTCCTCTCAATCTTAAATAAGCATGCCCCGTTCAAAAAATTCAGAACTAAGAACAGATATAGCCCCTGGTTCTCCTCAGACTTGACTGCCCTTGACCAGCACAAAAACATCCCGTGGCATACTGCATTAGCATCGAACGATATGCAACTTTTCAGGGAAGTCAGGAACCAATATACACAATCAGTTAGGAAAGCAAAGGCTAGCTTTTTCAAACAGAAATGTGCATCCTGTAGCACTAACTCCAAAAAGTTTTGGGACACTTTAAAGTCCATGGAGAATAAGAGCACCTCCTCCCAACTGCCCACTGCACTGAGGCTAGGAAACACTGTCACCACCGATAAATCTACAATAATCGAGAATTTGCTACGGCTGGCCATGCTTTCCACCTGGCTACCGCTACCCCGGCCACCAGCTCTGCACCCTCCGCTGCAACTTGCCCATGCCCCCCCCCCCCCCGCTTCTCCTTCACACAAATTCAGACAGCTGATGTTCTGAAAGAGCTGAAAAATCTGGACCCCTACAAATCAGCTGGGCTAGACAATCCGGACTCTTTATTTCTAAAATTAGCCGCCGAAATTGTCGCAACCCCTATTACTAGCCTGTTCAACCTCTCTTTCATAACGTCTGAGATCCCCAGAGATTGGAAAGCTGCCGCGGTCATCCCCCTCTTCAAAGGGGGTGACACTCTAGATCCAAACTGTTACAGACCTATATCCATCCTGCCCTGCCTTTTGAAAGTATTTGAAAGCCAAGTTAACAAACAGATCACCGACCATTTCGAATCCCACCATACCTTCTCCGCTATGCAATCCGGATTCCGAGCTGGTCATGGGTGCACCTCAGCCACGCTCAAGGTCCTAAATGATATTATAACCGCGATCGATAAAAGACAGTACTGCGCAGCCATCTTCATCGACCTGGCAAGGCTTTCGACTCTGTCAACCACCGCATTCTTATTGGCAGACTAAATAGCCTTGGTTTCTCAAATGACTGCCTCGCCTGGTTCGCCAACGACTTCTCAGATAGAGTTCAATGTGTCAAATCGGAGGGCCTGTTGTCAAGACCTCTGGCAGTCTATGGGGGTGCCACAGGGTTCAATTCTCGGGCCGACTCTATTCTATGTGTATATCAATGATGTCGCTCTTGCTGCTGGTGACGCTCGGATCCACCTCTATGCGGACGACACCATTTTGTATACATTTGGCCCTTCATTGGACACTGTGTTAACAAACCTCCAAACGAGCTTCAACGCCATACAACACTCCTTCCATAGCCTCCAACTGCTCTTAAACACTAGTAAAACTAAATTTTACATTTACATTTTAGTCATTTAGCAGACGCTCTTATCCAGAGCGACTTACAGGAGCAATTAGGGTTAAGTGCCTTGCTCAAGGGCACATTAACGTCATTTAGCAGACGCTCTTAGCCAGAGCGACTCATAAATTGGTGCGTTCACCCTATAGCCAGTGGGATAACCACTTTACAATTTGGGGGGGGGGGGGGGGGGGGGGGGGGGGTAGAAGGATTACTTTATCCTATCCCAGGTATTCCTTAAAGAGGTGGGGTTTCAAATGTCTCCGGAAGGTGGTGAGTGACTCCGCTTTCCTGGCGTCGTGAGGGAGCTTGTTCCACCATTGGGGTGCCAGAGCAGCGAACAGTTTTGACTGGGCTGAGCGGGAACTATGCTTCCGCAGAGGAAGGGGAGCCAGCAGGCCAGAGGTGGATGAACGCAATGCCCTCGTTTGGGTGTAGGGACTGATCAGAGCCTGAAGGTACAGAGGTGCCGTTCCCCTCACTGCTCCATAGGCAAGCACCATGGTCTTGTAGCGGATGCGAGCTTCAACTGGAAGCCAGTGGAGTGTGCGGAGGAGGGGGGTGACGTGAGAGAACTTGGGAAGGTTGAACACCAGACGGGCTGCGGCATTCTGGATGAGTTGTAGGGGTTTAATGGCATAGGCAGGGAGGCCAGCCAACAGCGAGTTGCAGTAGTCCAGACGGGAGATGACAAGTGCCTGGATTAGGACCTGTGCCGCTTCCTGTGTAAGGCAGGGTCGTACTCTCCGAATGTTGTAGAGCATGAACCTGCAGGAGCGGGTCACCGCCTTGATGTTGGCGGAGAACGACAGGGTGTTGTCCAGGGTCACGCCTAGGCTCTTCGCACTCTGGGAGGAGGACACAGCGGAGTTGTCAACCGTGATGGCGAGATCATGGAACGGGCAGTCCTTCCCCGGGAAGAAGAGCAGCTCCGTCTTGCCAGGGTTCAGCTTGAGGTGGTGATCCGTCATCCATACTGATATGTCTGCCAGACATGCAGAGATGCGATTCGCCACCTGGTTATCAGAAGGGGGAAAGGAGAAGATTAGTTGTGTATCGTCAGCGTAGCAATGATAGGAGAGACCATGTGAGGATATGACAGAGCCAAGTGACTTGGTGTATAGGGAGAAAAGGAGAGGGCCTAGAACTGAGCCCTGGGGGACACCAGTGGTGAGAGCACGTGGTGCGGAGACAGCTTCTCGCCAC